ACCCAGATAGCACGATGAATTCTTTAAGTGTTCCTAAAGTTTTCTCCTTTCCTGAATTGTACTTCCTTAGGAATTCGTGGAAGAATACTATAAGAATGTTTTAGAAAGTTACATGCACCATGATTGGAGTTCCTCAGAACTTCTTAGAGTATTTATATAGAATTATTTCAACTCAAAAAGATTTCTTCGAGTTTAATAGATTTTATTGCATTCACACGAAAGAAAGATCAGAAACTTTGGCCGGGGGTGATGCTCTTGTGTGTAAATGTCCATTTTTAATGTCATATGAGATGAAAACATCAGACTCGGCTGGGATCGAACACGTGTCTTCCGCTTGCTAGATAACCGCTCTTTCCACTGAGCTATTTAAAACTTCATGTTTGTGACATCTATATACCTAGTGAAAAATGATTCGTTGATTGACGTCAAAATGATATCAAATTGACGTCGGTTTGACGATTTCAACTATTTGATGTCATTTTGACGTCAATCAACAAATCATTTTTCGCTGGATATTATACTGTTATAACTGTTATACTGTTATATGTACTGTTCTAACTGAGCTTCAAATGTAAGTAAAGCGCACTTTCAAATATGTAATTCAAAATCCAAAAATAAATGGCTTTTAAATAATGCGATTGAGTTTGTTAGAACTATATATGAATTTTAGAAACATGAATACAAACTTAAGGATAAAAATATACTTCGCATAAATATATTTATTATTGATACAGGTGAAAATTTTATATATCAAAAGTTATTTTAACATCAATTCCCTCTCTTTGCCCTATTATATAAAACTATATAATTAATTCCACAAAATATAAATAACTGCGAATAACAATAAATTAAATAATTTATATGTAAATATGTAAATTAATTATTATACACTCACTGGCACGTACTGAATATAGGCGCAAAAAGTAATTGCTATAAACATTTGTAAGGGCTAAGGCAGATGAATGAGACATAAGTGTCATAGTCGTAGATGTAAAATAAAGCAGAGAAAAACGTAAACGTAAATCATGAAAGGCTATTAGTCTTACGCTTACGTTTTTCTCTGCCTTACTTTACGTCTACGACGCTTACGTTTCGTTCTCTGCCTTAGCCTTATTCCTCATGAATTCTAGTCAAATAGCGTTTTTCACTGGTCGCACTGGTGCGCACTGAGTGCACACTAGTCGAGAGCAGCATGTTTCACTGGACTTTTCGGTGCGCACGGAGGCGGTGCGCGCTGTTTCACTGGACAACTTGGTGCCGAGTTTTTGCATTTTAGTGCAGAAACTCGGCACGAGCTCCAAGAAACGGTGTCGGTCTAGTGCAATATGGCAGAGCAGCAAATTGATACGAGTTTAGCACTTCAACTGCTAGAAGTACTATCATCATCGTCGTCATCTAGCAGTAATGAAGATAAGTTTGTTAATGAATTACGAAAAATTCCTAAAATCAAACACTTTATTGACGTGGTGCATAATATTACGGATAAAGAGGTAAGTATATGTTCTATTGTATAAGTGTTATATTATATAGATTGTATTTATTTATGTAAAATAGGGAAATAATATGTACGATAATTATGTATTACAGTTCAAAAGTCATTTTCGCGTTTCAAGAACAACAGCCTACAAATTAATACAGGTTTATTCAATTTCACGATTCTATCCTTCCGATCGCACCCACGGAGGTAGTGAATCTATTTCTGCTGAATCGGATATATTATCATTTTTGTGGTAAGTCAATAATACATGCCCTAGTTTTATCGATGTATGACAAATATATTTATTATAACATAATATGCACATGCATACCCTGCCGCAAACATCTTAAAAAATGTGCATATATTAATATATCTCCATATATATATATTAGGTTTGCTGGAAATAAAGTGTGTCTCAGAGACGTCTCTCAAAGATTTGGGGTATGTCCTGCAACAACTTTTAGACAAAATGAACGAGTGGTAAATTTTTTAATTGATATGGCTCCAAAGATAATCAAGTTTCCTGAGATTAAGGAACACTCTGCAAACGAATTCTTACAAGTATGTTAATACAATGTTATATTTATATATTATGTTACATAAAGCATAAAGCATATGTCACTTTTGTAAGATTGCAGGTTTTCCTAACGTACTGGGCTGTATTGATGGTACATCAATTAAAGTGATAACACCAGCACATAAAAGAAGGCTCACTTATGTGAGTAGACATGATATTCCTTCAATTACTCTACAGGGTATATGCGATGCTAGTAAAAGATTTATTGACGTCTTTACTGGTGTTCCAGCAAAGATCCATGATTCACGTGTTTTAAAGCTGTCGGATATCAATGAAAATTTACCAGCAATATGTGAACGCAAATATCATTTATTAGGAGATGGAGCATACTCTATAAGAGAGTGGTTATTGATTCCCTATAGAGATTACGGAAATCTAACGGATAAACAACGCAAATTTAATAAACGGTTCTTTGCAACACGAGTATTGATTGAAAATGCATTCGGATTATTAAAAGGCCGTTTTCGACAACTCACGGAGTTACATCTTCACATCTTCACAGTATTGATAAAATATCAAAATTCATTATTTCTTGTTGTGTTCTACACAACTTATGTATTGATAACAATGATAATTTCGATTTTGAACTCCAAGTTATACATAATGTGGAAGAATTTAATGATGAAGTTCAAGGAGAGCAGGAAATTCTACTCCGCAGATTGGGCGAAATAAAAAGGGATGAATTATTGGAAGTACTGTTTCCGTAAAATAAAACGCAATACGATATACAAAAAATTATTTATTGTTTATTTATCTTTTGTACATAAAGAGAACTTTCTTAATATTCAGATTAAATAACAAATTGTAATGTACTGTTTATCTATGAAACATTTATATTATTTGTTGAACGTGCAACAGAATATATATTTTATTTTGAAACTTCAACAAAAAATTGCTTTCCGACTCATATTATAATTATATTAATCGCACGACTATAACGAATATCACAGAACTTAACAGATATTATAGAATTCTTGTAATGTTAAAATAAGGAATACTTTTAATTAATTTTAAGCACTGCGAGTTATCTCTAAAGAATTTAAATATTTATATATATTTAAGAGAAACGTAGAATAAAAATTAGTTTTAAAAAGAACGGTTAAAATATTGACTTTAGGAACCTCATAACACAACCTTTATATCTCAGGCAGAAATAATTAAACCATACACGTCGATTCAACGTCTATAGACATCGAATCGATGTCTATGAACCGATCATTTCTGCCTGGGATATTTATATGTAGTTAACATTTATATGTAGTCTTTCAAGTTTCATATTTTTTTCTTTCCTTTATCTTTACTCTGCTTCCTTCTTAGCGAACAGCTCACCTATTAGATTTAATTTTTCCTGATGTCGCCTTTCTTTTGCAGCTTCCTTATTTTCATAATATTCCCATCTTTTTTCCTGACTAGTCTTTCTAGACTTTTTTACCTCCGGCGAACTGTCAGTACAATCTGATATTGAGCTAGCCTTGTAGATTTCTCTCGACATTGGTGTAGCATCTAATTTGGGATATTTAACAGTTTTGGCACTTCGCAGAACCTCAGGTTCAATGCTGTCGTCTGAATGAGCAATTTTGCTCAACTGTTCTTCAAATGGTACTTCCTCTCTAGAACTACCAGATTTATTGTTATTCTCCACTGCCTTTTTTTTCCTCTTGAGAACAGTTATCGATTTTCAATCTGTATCGGACTTTTTGAAATGTTCAACATTTCTAGCATATCTTTTGATATTTGAAACCACATTTGTTTCTTTGTTTTAAATCTCTTCATAGGACCAATATTGGCCAAGTATGATTCCAATTTATCCAACATGAACAATGTTGACGAATCGTTCCAGAAATCTAAATAACATAATTTTCTATATATTGTAATTTTATATTTTGTAATTGTAACATTACAAATAATCAATGGCATATAATATCAATAAATCGAATTTCCTTTATAATAGCATAACAAACGTTTTATATTAAAGGTTTCTGAATATAAAAAATTACTAAGCTAAAAATCAATATGTATTTTGCATAATATGCTATTATAATATTGTATTGGTATTGCAATATCGAGCAATTTATATAAAGTATTAACATTGCTTTAATTAAATCAATTTACCGTAACTTCTGTCAATTTTTGTCACGTGCTCCTCCGATCCGAATTTTGAATGTGTACCTTCGTTTTCTTTATTATGCACATTTAATAACTGCCCTCGATCACTGTGGTCCACATTAACCAGGTTGGTATGGTATATCAAATTTTCTCTGTAATAAAACTTTTCTTGTAATAAAACTTTTCTCTGTAATAAAACACCTTCTTATTGTATCATTCTTTACTTTTTATTGATATGTACATTCCATTTGAATTACATAAGACTTCGATTATTTCAGCAAGAAAAAAAGTTAAGATTTTATAAAATTATTTTTAATTAATATCGAAATATTGATATCTAAAGTCGACATACAGTTGACTTCATTTTTACTTACTTCTTTTCAATTATCCGAAATAGTTCCTGAATTTCTTGATTTTCATCACCGTCAAATTTAAACAATTTATTTTTTAGCAGGAGTTCTATATACTGTTTACTGTAAATATCATCGTCTAACAGTAATCAGAGTAGACACATTTACTATTATTGTTTTTTCATTGTTCAAGTATATTTTTAAATAATTGAAATATGTTTCTCAAGCATGAAAGTATATATTTTTTCGTTAAAAAGTTATTACTTAAGCAACGAATATAGTCGGTATCATTTCCGTTGAAAAAGAGTTTGATCGAGATGTATCGAATTTTATTTTAAGAAAACCAAAATACATATACTAAATAACATTTATTAACCTTTTCAACGTTTTTATCTCATTTCAGTTTTCCTGCAATAAAATTCCAAATAAAAACATCTTTGTCAACACTCTACAAATAACCTCAAAATTCATACTTACTCATTAATTTATTATAAAGCTTTATTTCGCTTGATTGCAGTTTTAATGTCAATAATTTGTTATTAACTTTAAAATTTACTTCAAATTTTTCCATATTTGCACTACTGTGGTAGAACTATGTAAAAAATAGACGAAGAAATGGAAAGAAATTTCCTGTCTATACAATCACATGCAACGATTTGTCCTGCAACGATTCGTCGAGTTATCACTTTTTTGATACTCGATCGGCGTAGAGTGTTTAGCTAGGAGTACAAAAAACTCGCACTTTCAGAAACATCGTGCAGTGCCGGTGCGCACTCGTGCAATTTCGGTGCGCACTCAGTTCCTCCCAGTGAAAAACGCTAAAAGTGTTCTAGGAATTAAGTTGCGAAGTATTCGCTATAATGAAGTCCTAGGGAATATTTCAAGACGAACTTACTATGGTTAATTCTTCAAGAATTCTTCGGGTATACATTTTTATAATTCTATATCTATTCCTTAAAATGAATTCTCTAGGAACTTCTGTTCATCTTTATGTTATCTGGGAATACGTACTTCCCTATAATTATCTCCCCAAGCAACTCCCCGTCTTGAAAGGGTTAATCCAAGTTTAGAAAATCTTTTATACGAAAACATTTTGAATTAATTCCTATAATAGATTCTCCATATTTTATATTTACAAGGAAACCACACAAGTATCCGCCTCCGATTTTTATGAACTTGTAATATGTTTTACTTTAGATCAAAATAACAGATACGTTTCTTATTACATGTGTCTTTTCGCAAGTTTAGGGAGTGAAATACCCCTTTGAGGAAAATCGGTTTTTTTCATTTGAAGGGAATATAATGAAAACTGTAAGAGACAGAAACAAATATTTTGAATAAAAGTTGAATGGTTTGAAGAGTACTTTACAGAAACTATTTTAATAATTATAATAAGGAGAAGTAGTGGGGGAAAAATTAACAAAAATTTTTCTTTTAAATAATTTCTATAAAGTACTTTTCAGACCATTCAACTTTTATTCAAAATATTTTTTTCTATCTTTTATAGTTTTCATTATATTCCCTTCGAATAAAAAAACCGATTTTCTTCAAAGGGGTATTTCACCCCCTAAACTTGCAAAAGGGCACATATAATAAAAAACGTATCTGTTATTTTGATTTAATTAAAGTACAACATATTACAAGTCATGAAAATCGGAGATGGACACTTGTGTGAGCTTCCTTGTTAATATCTTAACCTTTCTACTGTGGAGAGTAAAATCACTAAGTAGGCCAAAAATGTGCAGGGGTTCTATAATCAAACGCATTTTCATCAAATTTTGCATATAATTATTTTTTGTATTGCTGAACACAAATCTGAGATCGAAATTAGAAAATTTAAAATGGCAGATCCAATATAGCAACAAGAAAATATCAAGAATTCAATAAATTAGCGAATTGCTTTAAAGCTTGGTAGAGAGTTTTCCGGGTTGCTAAAAACAAGTTTAAAGTCAAAAGTAGAAAACTAAAAATGGCAGATCCAATATGATGGATTAAAATGTCAAGAACTCCAAATAATTAAACATTTAAAATAAAAAAAAATTTAAAATTAAAAATGTAAGAAAATATACTACATAAAAACATAAGGAGTGTAAAATCCCACCTCCATGTGGTGCACTCTGGGACTGTGAATAAATTTTTAAGAATATTTACTAGCTAAATGCGAGGGTAAAAATATTATTATTTCGATTATTGCGCTATTTTAAATTAAACGAAATAAAATAGTATCATAATAAAATTGTTAAATGTTTGTTATCTGTAATTATTTGCCTATTATCAAAGAAGTCTTCAAAATGGATCTACCATCAAAAATTTTTTAATTTTGACCTCAAATTTGTATTCAGCGATCCTTAAAACTCTCTAGTGTCAAGTTTTGTGCAGGTCCGCTAATTTATTTAACTATTATTGAATTTTTTATCAGTACGTATAGATATACTCCAGAATTTGAGCTCACCTAGTCGAGTTCGTTTATAGACATACTCCACAGTGAAAGGGTTAATAAAACTTTTAACAAAATGAGAAAATGGAAGTTAATGTGAAACAATCTAAAAAGATCAAAATATATATAAAAAATAGACTCTTTGCGAGAGTTTATCGGTATACAGACTCTAATACTTTACATATTAGAAACGTATCTTCATCGTTTTTATTTCTTTTTCATACGGCAAGTTTATAATATTTACAATTTGAAAAAACCCATTAAATTCTTGGTAATTATGCATAATAATAGCGACCTCATAGATTTCAATCACCTTGACATATGCTGTCAAGGTCACTCTCCTGAGTAACGTGCAAAAAGTTTTAATTGTCGCTCATTGTTTGTTAAAAAGCTCGCCCGTATATACGTATGTATATATTGGATGTGAAAAAAAATTCGTGGCATTTTTTTTAGTAAAATTCAAGTGTTTTTCTTAGAGTATAAAAATCAATTTATTCAAACCAAATATATTCCATTATTTTCGATATTTTGCCATTTTTGGGGCAGAGCCATAATCTTATCGCGATAAAATTTCTGTGGTTTCTGGTCGAAAAACTGCTTCAAGTGATTTTTACAGGCCTCTTTTGAAGCCAGCTTTACATCATTAAAAGAGTTCTGCAGAGACCTAAACAAATAATAATCTGAGGGTACTATGTCAGAACTATACGGTGGATGCATTAAAACTTCTTAGCCAAGCTCTCACAATTTTTGCCGAGTCATCAAAGATGTGTGTGGACAAGCGTTGTCGTGATGGAAGACGACACCCCTCCTATTGATCAATTCTGGCTGCTTCCTCTCAATTGCTTGTTGTATATTCTTTATTGATCCCCAGTATGGGGTTAGAAAGTCTATATTACAGTTCTTCTCCACGCTACCCACACACACACACACGCCTCCGCACTCTACCTTTTACATCTAAACTTACATCTAATTCTTACAACTTACCTAACTCACATATCTAACTTAACCTAACGCGTGGACCTCCGTTTCCGTCTCTCTCCCTCTCTCTCTCCCTCCCTTCCTTCCTCCTATTTACTCATTCACTCAGACCTTTGTCCTCCACATCTCCAACCTTTTCATCAATTCCTCCCCTCCCTCCCCCAATATCTCCCTCACCGCCTTCACAACTTCATACTCCCCATACATCTCTCCCATATATGTTCCCAGCTCTCCACTTCACCCTCACATATCCTGCATCTCTTCTTCTCCTCCCCCTCCCAATACATACCCTCCCTTATCTCATTCCCCATTCTAAACCTAATCACTCTCCTCCATCTTTCTTCTGCTCACTCCTTTTCCAAGTATTCTGCTATCCTTTCTCCTTTCACAAACTGATACCCTTTATTGCTTCTTGACCCCCTAATCCTTTCCCATCTCTCTCTCCTCTAACTTCTCATATCCCTTCCCCTCTTCTTCTTCTATCCTCCATTCTCTCTCTTCCATAAACAATTTCCTATCTTTCTCTTAGCCCCCCACTATCTTGCTTTTTTTCCATCTCTCCCTCATTTCATCCTCACATCTCTCAATTGCTTGTTGTAATCTTTCCAGTTGTTCACAGTAAAGTTTGGAATTAATTGTTTGACCGGGCGGTAACAGCTCATAGTGAACGATTCCTTTCCAATCCCACCACACACACAACATCATTTTTTTCATCATCAATCCAGGTTTTGCGATTGCTTGCGCCTTCTTTCCTTCCTTTGTCCACGATATTTTCGAGTTTGATTGTCGTATATGACCCATTTTTCATCCATTTTTTACCCAGTTATCATTCTCTTCAGAAATGGCTCAATTTCATTCCGTATCAGTAGCGTATCGCAAATATTAATTCTGTCCATCATGTTTTTAACACTCAACTCGTGAGGAACCCAAACACTTTTATATCCAGCTTTGTGTAAATGATTCAAAACTGTTTTGTGGTCGATGCCTAGTTCCCTGGCAATCTCCACACTGCTCACATGCTTATCACGCTCAACTTTTTCATCGGACTTTTCGGTGATTGGTCGACCGGAGCGAGGTTCATCTTTGACATCGAAATTTCCAGTACGAAAGCGAGCGAACCATTTACGTGCTGCTGATTTTGATAGAGTATCTTCACCGTAAACCCTTATAGAAATATCATACTAAGAATCATTGATAATTACTTATTATCCAGTATTTTTAATACTAAAAATAAGAAATTATCAATGATTCTTAGTATGATATTTCTATAAGAAAACAGCACACATTTTTTCACAAGCTTGTCCAGCATTCTTGCTTTTATCATAATGATATTGCAAAATGTTGCGAATTTTTTCCTTATTTATCTCCATTTTCAAAATAAAATAACTTCTGATCCACTTTACCGATTTCAATCTTTTTCGGCTCAAATCAAAGGTTGAAATGTCACGCGTGTCTAGTGTTGTCGATGCGATTAGTAGTTACCGAGTGCTGAACATGTAATGTCATCTAGTGCCAAACGCCACGAACTTTTTCCCACATCCATTTTCCCTCCTTTTGAATTTTTCCCATTGCATATAGACGTTTGGAAACAGCCATCGGAGTAACATTTAATGTTGCAGACAATTCTTGGAGCGTTTGAGTAGAGTTTTCGTCCAATAATGCCTGCAAATCGGTGTCTTCAAACTTTTTCGGTTGGCCTGAGCGTTCTTTATCATTGACATCAAAATCACCACTCTTAAATCGCTGAAACCATAGGCATGTTCTTTCCGATGGAGAATAATTGCCATAAGCTTCGAAAAGCAATTTATGAGCTGCAGCTGCAGTTTTTTTCAAGTCAAAGTAATGAAGCAGCACATGTCGAAAAAACAACTTATCACGTTCCATATTTAATCAAAAGAAAAAATAGCACTGCTCGCTTAAATGAATCTCTTCGCACTGAATTTTATTGACAAATGTCTAACCTCTAAAATGCAGCCAGTTTCAGATGTCAAAATAAATTACACCTACAACTAACGTCATCTAACTGTGAGCCGCAGGAACTAAGTTTACCACCTAATAATAGGAACATACGCACCCTCTGTGAGCCCACCCTGTCGGGAGGGCGAGCAGCATGTGTGTGTGTGTGTGTGTATAGCAGGTATTTTGCTAGCTTACAAATTCGGTATTTTTGTATATACGGTGTCCAAAATTACTTTTATTTTATGCAACTTTATTTGTTAATAATTTTTAACAAACAACGAGTGACGGCTAAAATCTTCTGAAGGTTACTCAGGAGAATGACCTTAACAACATATCAAGGTGATTGAAATCTATGAAGTCGCCATTATTATGCATAATTATCGAAAGATTATTTTTTCTGAAGTACTTAGAGCTTCAACTACCAACCAACATAGTTTTAAAAAAATTTGGCGTTGGCAAGGACTCAGTGAGAAATGACTTATCGATCGACGTCAAATCGACGTCTTTTCGACGTCGATCAATAAATCATTTCTCACTGGGGAAAAGACTTTATCAACACAACTTTTTTACAAATTGTAATAAATTGTGAAAAAAAGAAGCGAGATCAAGTTTTTCATATTGAATTTAAAAGGGTAAAATAAAAAAAGAGAATAAACATTCTTTTCACTTGTTTATAAATAAGAAATATAATACTTGTTGCAATTTATAAATAATGAAAAACAACGCTTTATAACGCGCATAAATATATACATTATGTAATAAATCATCGAAATTCTTGCTATAAATTATCGTCGATTATTTTGATAAATTCATGCGAACGAGGAGCAGCATATTCGACTAGCCAAAATTCTCAAAGTGATGAATAAAGTATGGCAAGCGTCTACCCTTGTTGACTTCATCGCAAGCCGACATAACACTCTTCGTCAGAGGACGTGGTCCACAGCTGAATACTCCTATTTTGCTAACCTGTATAACAATAACAGTTGCTCAATGGATGTATGAAACTTTGAGGTCACATTATTTATACATAACCAGAGAGAAACGAATAAACGATGCTGTAATTCTTTAAATCTTCTTTAACCCAAGAATAGACATATAAATTTAACTAATGAATAGAAAAGCGAGAGAATGATAACAAATATTATGATTAAAATATATAATTAATAAATTATTTCCGGTTATATAATTACATAGGAAAAACATAAAAGTTTTTTTAGCAGAAAGAAGAATCACTATTTTATGTATTTCGATATGCTGAAACATAACCGAACCTAACATTTATAATAACATAGCACATTTTTTGTTAAAAACAGGCAAAAAAGCTCAAAATTAAATAATTTCATATTCAACGTAGAACATGCACATTGTGATTACATTTTCTTAGCTAACAAAAAATCATATATATGTGTTGAAACATACAAAATTTTTAATAAGTGAAATATTAAGTTATATGTACGGGGTACTTCATTTCCGTGAGTCTTCTTGTCTCTCACGTATAGAATATTAATGATATATAACATTAATAAAAAATATGGCCGTGTTTTGTATCAAGTGTGCGTATGAGCAAACGGGCTCGTAAGAACCTCAATTTAACACGGAAGCGGAATATGCGATCCTTAATTTTATTTTATCTTAACTTTTTATATGACTTCTTTATTTTTAAAAATAAGTCAATGTTGTGTGAATATACATAAAGCTGTTATAACGCAATATTTGATATTTTTGTTTGGTTTATTTTATAACATTTTTTATGTAGAAAATAAGTTAAAACAATATTCTATATATATATATATATATATATATATATATATATATATATATATATATTCTACGTCTTTATCTAAATTTATGTTTTCTGAAAATATATGTGAAATACCAGGTGTAGAAGTATGAAACCGGAATTCCCCTATAAATGGTGCCAGCGTTCAGTTTAGTGACCGTAAGACCGCTACTGCCGCGCTATTATATTCTCCTAACAGCTGACGAATATTGTCAACAAACATAACCCCAACTTTCATTCTCTAGTATATTTTTGTATAACCTTAAACATGTCACGTTTCGAGCCTACTAACTATGATTTGCGGACAGCATTGATTTTCTGTTATCATTTAAAGAAAACTGCTGCAGAATCACATCGAATGCTTGTCGAAGCTTACGGTGAATATGCTCTTGGTAAATCTCAGTGTTTCGAGTGGTTTAAAAAATTCAAAAGTGGTGATTTTGACGTGAGGAACGAAGAACTATGAACTATGAACTATGAACTATGAACTGCTGAAACCTGGTCAAACCGTCAATACTAATCGCTACCAACAACAAATGATCGATTTAAATCGAACATTGACTAAAAAACGACCAGAATATGCAAAAAGGCAACACAATGTCATTTTGCTCCATGATAATGCCCCATCACATACAGCAAAACGGGTCAAGGAAACGATCGAGTCGTTCAGTTGGGAATTACTACCGCATGCGGCTTATTCTCCAGACTTGGCTCCGTCCGATTATCACCTGTTCGCATCGCTAGGACACGCTCTCGCTAACCAACGCTTCGATTCGTATGAAAATGTGGAAAAATGGCTAGATAACTGGTTCGCTTCAAAAGATGAAAAGTTTTTTTGGCACGGCATTCATAAACTGCCAGAGAGGTGGGAAAAATGTGTTCAAAACAGTGGAAATTATTTTGAATAAAGTATTATTTATCACTTTCGAACAACAGACGTCTTATTTGTATAAAAAAATTCCGGTTTCATACTTCTACACCTGGTATTTTATACAGAAATATTGTTTTTTAATATGATTCTGTTTATGTAGGGAAATACGTGCATTATTTTTACTTGGCTACTTGATATCACTCTTTTTGATAAGAAAATAGAAATTTAAACAACAATATTTTTTATTAGCGTTTTTGAATGTGTTATGTTACAAATAAAACATTTTTTATAGGAGCATTTACTTTTGTATAATTTAACTCGTGCGAGTAAGCTGTGAATTTGACGTCTTTTTTACTTTTTTTAAGAAAAAAGGAAAGTTGAAAAAAGGTATGATCTTACGTATTTCTTATACGTAAGAGGCAAGGGGATTTACGGAAACGAAGCATTTTGTACGTGGGAGTCAAGGGAATTGACAGAAATGAAGCATCCTGTCCATATAACTTGATATCTCACTTATTTTGTATGTTTTAATAGATAAATGATGTACATAATTATTATTTTTAAGTTAAATAAATTTAAACATAGCGTCCCATGTAGAGTATGAAAAATATTTAATTTTGAGCCTCTTTTCTTGACTTATTATAACAAAAATTTTACGTGCTACATTATTTTAAAAAACATTTCGTTTTAGTATGTCGAAATATTGAATAATACAATACATAAAAAATAATGATTTTTCTTTTTAGTAAAAATACTTTTTTATGGTCTTATGTTATTAAAACACTTTTAATTATCAGAATATTTTCTCTATCAGTTAGTAATTTATTATGATTCATATATGAACGTGCCACAATATCTAATAGTTAAAGTCAGGGAGTACTTATTCCCGAATTAATGCTTTCATAATCTTAATAATTAATTACTAATCTTACTAATTAATTACTTAATTATTAATCGACATACATAGCTGTGTTTCTTTTGAACAAACTTCAGGATCGACGTCATATCTGGTCGACCAAAGTGATTAATGGCTTTAAGTCCAGTAAATATACTTTTCTTTGATAGCCTCTGGAAGTGATTCTCACATATATACTACACATGTGAAATAAAATATAGATAATTAATTAAAACATTATCAAGGATATTATATGCGATAATTAGATAATAGCATATTATATATAATACTACTTATATATAATACTACTTATATATAATACTATATCATCAATCTTCTGTAAATGTCAATATGATTTCACTTACCAGCATGGTAGTACGCAAATCAAACTTGTGAAAGAATTGCGTAATAAATATGTGGATTTCAAGTACATCTGTAACATCTTTTCTCTCAACATCTCTGAGAACGTCAATAAACCATTCAAAATGTTTATGAGATGGACAAATCCATAGAAAATAAACCTATGAATGAAAAATAAATGACATTATTATATCATTTTAAAAAGTAACAGAAATTATGCATTTATTATGCAAAATATTGAATTTAACATATTATGTTAGGATATTTCGAATAAGTGTGTTTCATTTTTGAGTACGAATACGATGAAATTTTAAGTACTAAAATAAACATTGTCTTATTACACGTAAATTTTTCAATGAAAAATTTTCTCACTAATATTTATAAACCGCATAAATGTAAAATTTTTAATGTTTAAATTTATCGTTGAATCTGAAAAGATTTGTAACTATATAGAAGAATCTTTATAAATTCTTTATAATTATCTTTAGGATAAAATCTCTCTCTTTCTCTCTCTCTCTCATATACGCGCGCGCAAATACACACTTAAAACTTAATATATACTTAAAACTTAATATATACAACATAACATTTTTTTTTTAATGGTTTTTGTTTTATGTTATTCTATCTTACCTTTTTACACGCTACACCGGAATATCTGTTAGTGGATGTTCCAAACACGAGATCATTGAGCATAGAAGCGTAAGGAGTGACCCCGATACCTCCTCCGACCATCACCGCAACTTCGAACTTATACCAATCTTGATTTCCGCCCCCAAATGGACCCTCTATACGTATTTTTGGATGCTCGTCTTCCGGATTATAATTACAAGGATCGAAATAATTTCGCAGTTTCCATGTCCACGGACCCTGAGCTTTGATGTGACATGACAAAAAATTTTCGTGCGGTGCTGAAGTCAATGTGAAGGAGTGAAATTCGTTAGATCTGAAGACGGTGCAAGCAAGACGCACCCATTGGCCCGACAAATATTTTAAATTTGGAGGTCTATAGAATTTGATTTTTAGTACATCCGAGGGCAATAATTCGGTTTCGATGATATCCAGAGCCATATATTTAGTTCGCAGACTTACGACCTGTGAACAACAATAAGCATCGACAAGTTGCACATGGTATTATACTTCTCATATTGCTTCATAATACCAGATATCAAACTATTTTAAATAACAACTAAATAGGATTTGCTAACTCTTAATAAATATCGCATAGTTGTCATATACAGGATTTGTTACATCAGCTTGTCGCATGCATAACTAATTTATAATCTTATATATTATCACGGATATGCCTTATGTGTGAATGCAAAAAATTGAAAGTACTGTTTTTTAATACTATGCTATTTTTGAAATGTAAATATTAATAAAACATTACTTTATCTAGGGCGTAAATAATCGCTGGGCCAACGAAGAATATCCAAAATCGTGGTGAGCCTGTTAGACGAGCTAAGCCATGAATTAGGCACAACATGTATAGGACCACGTAGAGACTGTGCGTCGACCAAAAGAATTTATAAGCTTTTTGTCGTATGGTTGGATGTGCAAAGACAAAAATAATCGTCATGACAATGAAGAGAAGTATACCGGTTAAGCCTGCAACGAAAATGAAATAACATAATCATATAATTCACATTGGTAATAACAAATGCAGTTTTGAAACTTTTTGCTTGTGCAAATTCACAAACAGAAATTTATCTGCATTCGCAATTTTTCACAAAAGCACATACCAGTCACTGTTTGAAACAGCCAGTAAGAAATAGTAGGTCGTGCGTCGCTAGGGAAGCTGATTTCACTAGTGAGGCAACGAAGATGTGCTATCGGTTGCGTGGAAACGTGATAAAAGTTGACTATATGACCAACCGTATGCAGCACCGAGAAAAAAAGTGCCGTACATGCTGCGATCTTGTGGAATTGTATGTGCGCGTCTAACGGAATATACTGCTGAATTGAAAATTCTTTAAGTTTTGTCAATAAATTGCGCGACATTGTCAATAATAAAAGACTATAGCAAAACGACAATGCAGCTGCAGATCCTCTAGTTATAGCAATTCCTACGCCCATTATATGCCTCAAATCCGTATGTTCCGCCATGAAAGAATAATCTAAATAAAAAATACAAAATTTAAATTTACGGATAAGTAATCTAAATAAAAAATACAAAATTTAAATTTACGGATAAATATAAACAAGTACAGCATTTTCGAAAATAAAATGACTAAAAGAAAATTTTATGCGAATTCAGGTATCTATCAAAGAATCCAGAGAGAAAGAAATGCTGAACATAGCAAAACTGCTGCTTATTACTATCGGGAAGAGAATGCAATTAATGCGGAATTATTGCAGTATTGAGGAATAAATATTTTAATTAAATAATAAAAATAATGCGTAATAAATAATTATTTCTTAAAACAAACATATGTTAAATACATCTAGTTGTTGCAATATCGTCATAAAATTTATATTAAATTACACATAAAAAATGCCAACAAAAGTCTATGCAAAATGTCAACTGAGAAAGGATTACATCCACAAATAAATTAAGTAAAATATTAAATGCTCCAAAAACTAAACCAAATGTTTCATCATTCCGACCCTTTTCAATGCATTATACCGCTACGGATTTATCATTAATATAGAATACTAGAATTTCTGTACAGAACGGCATGAGAATGTGATTTCACGCAACACGCATGTCTAAAAGACATCATAAAAACGCCTTATATAAGACATCTTTATGATATTAATAAAAATCGGCTTTACTAAAAGCCACCTAAAAGGTGTCTTATTTCATGTAACTTTAAAACGTTACCAAAATGACGTCTTAAAAACATTTTACTTCAGGCGTCTTTAAAACATATTTAAAAGACATTTTAAAAACATCTTATTTCAGAAATCTTTAAGAGAAAGAGAGAGAGAGAGAGAGAGAGAGAGAGAGAGAGAGAGAGAGAGAGAGAGAGACGTTATAAAAAAATGTCTTAAGAGATGTTTGAAATAAGATGTCATTAAGACATTACCAAAAAAACGTCTTAGACATCTATTGAATGATATTTTTAAGACTATTCAGTAAACGCTAAATATTCCTGAAATATTCCGTTACTATTTCAAACGTTCGGTATAACATTCCGTAAATGTACCGGAATAGTAAGAAATATTCACAGAATGTTCAAATAATCGTGAAATATTTAAAATATTCTATGAACACTATTTGTATGTGCAATAATTTTTTGTATGTTTTTATATGTTACATATATATTTTTAATTTAAATTGTCTTACATTTATGTACAAGATGTCTGACATATATATTTTTAATTTACATTGTCTTACATTTATATATATATATATATATATATATATGTCTTACATTAGCTCTGGTACGGTACGAGTCA